TTCTTAACCCCCCCCCCCCCTCCCCCCTCCTTCCCTTTCTCCCCTACTCCTCTTCAGATCCTATTCAACACGTACCACAATCTGGTTTAACTAGCAAAGAAGTGAGAACTAATCAAGTTGGAACAAAAGCATGATCAAAGATCAAAGAAAACGGTGTTAATTTTTTTTTTTTTCCAATCTATGGCCATCGGGCAGTTTTTTGTTAGCTACTGGCAACAGTTACTACATAACTGTATAGAAGCCGTTCTCTTCTTCTAAGTTTAATATCATGTATAGGAGGAGTGTACAAATACAGACATATAAATGCATTATTTATATACTAAGTTGCATGTAGATCATTTGTTCCAGAAAAGAATAATTGAAAAACGAAGTAAAGAAAAAGAAATACAAAACAATCAGTAGGTACAAAAAACTTCATAAACAAAACTAAAAAGAGAAAAAAAATACTTAAAACTTTATCATATGGAGATAGGAAAACAATGTTAGGGTGATATACAATACAATTAAACTTCCGATCCCTCCATCAGAATGCCGATAAATTAATAACAAATTAACAATAACCAATAAAATCAAGCATCACAGCAAAGGTATTCAACAAAAATTTTCCATAGTTTCCCCATTTTATCAACGGAAGTTTCATTGCATATGCTAGCTGCTCTGGCAGTTTCACTGACATGGCACATACAATATAGAGTTGCGTGTATAATTTCTTGGCACCATACCAATCATCAGAGGACATGCTATATTTCTTAACAAACACGATAATGATGACTACGACTAAAAAGTTAAGACAAACATCTCAAAATGCAAGCTACATTTGCCCCTGTTACAGAATTTTCATTTCAATTATTTCTCCTTTTAGTGAAGGCACAAAATCAAACGCTGCATCAGGATATTCTCACATCATATACAGTAAACATCATTATGGACCCAGATACCTCTTGAGTTACCTCTTTCAAGGAAACACAAAATAGAACGTTTTTTTTTTTTTGCTGCCAGCGAGAGAAATCCAAAAGAGCCTAAAAAATAGTATAAAATGTGCCGTAAAAGAACTGAATCAACTAGTGCAAAGGGAAGAGCATACCTTTCATTGACGAAGAACCCCAACATCTTATCCAAACCTGGAAAGAAAAAGATGAAGTGTAAGCCAAACTAGAAATAAAGCTGACGTTTACTCTTAAATATGCTGTTATGCAGGTGAACCCAAAAAGAAAAGCATTCTTTTGCATGAGATTTTAAGCTCAAATGCATGTGCTATACATGCAGCAACTTTTATAGAAAGCAGGAAAAAAAGCAAACACCTCACCTTGCTCAAGAAGATCTGGATATTGACTACACTATTTATGGGATACCTTGATCACCTTTTTTTGTTGCGTTTGTGTGTGTGTGTTTTGTTAGTGGGATGTTGGGGTGGGGGACTGGCTTACCATCAATATGTCGGACCCAGTGCAGTTTATAACTCGAACATAATTTCCTCGTATTTATGGACAACAGAGATGTCCATGCAGTTCCACAAAAAGAGCAAACCAAGAAAAGACACTACCATCTTATTTAGCTTCCTCCCCCTCCACCCCTCAAAAAAATGTGCAAAGAAAGGAAGAACAGAAAGTCAAGGGCAGAAATAAAGACAGCATTAATACTTCCGTTTGAGAAGGAAAAATGTTCTGTATGCTTGTTGCCACAAAAACAATCCTAAGCTGTACAAATATCAGGAACAAAGGGACAAAATTAGATAACATGTAATGTCTCTCATCTATGGAGAATCCTGAACAAAAAATAGGGCCGTTACTTTCTATCCTAACGTACAACCTTGATTGATGAAGTCGTTGTAAAAATAATGTGATGTAACCTTCAAAGGAGGATGAGCACACATATGGCATTGGCATTGCACCAAATGCAGGAGGCCTTTGCCACATTGAAAATGGTACTTATTGCCATACTCCAGGAGAAATTCCCGTTGAAATTGCATGAGCCCATTTTGAGAGAAATTGGTTGAAGGGGGCACACCAATCACGATTGGATTGGTAAAAATATACAAGAGCAGCCTCCTTTTTTTCTGCTGCACCCCTCTTGAGTCACCAAAAACATATTTGTCGAATTTATATGAAGTTACCCTCGGGAGTTCCACGCCACCAATGAAAGTCAAAACTCAAGAAGTAACAAATATGAACTGACTTCTAAGTCTTCCACAGAAGGGTGCCATAACTCATAATCCCCCAACCCTCAGGACCATCAAGACTTCCCATCTGGCTTCACTGCCATGTGCCTCTCAATCAAATTGTCCACGAAGGCTCGAATCTGTGCACATGATACAATTAAAAACAAAGCAAAATAAAAATCAATAATCAGGCCCTAACTAGTCAAACAAGTGAAATAACGCACAAAAGAGAGGAGAAAGGCATAGACACACACACAGAACCAGAGAATCCCAGTCACCCAAAACTGAAAGAAATACGGAGCGTTAAAAAACACCCCTAATGATACATTTGTTCTACAGGAATATAGTGTTTCCAGTGATGGGAAAGGTGATTGTATTGTCAGCAAACAAAACTCTGCAGGAAGAAAGTATTTCATCATGTTCGACAAAATGTCATCGAACAATTAAAACAGTTTTGAGACATTATCTTATAGGTTATTGAGAAACTATACCCTTGCCAAAAATTAGATCAGCCAAATTTCTAGCAACACATTGAACCTCTTCCAAAAAATGGATGTCCAAAGAAACAAATTTATAATGGAAATTCAAGAAGATATGACATTAATTACATCACCATATGAAAATGTACTGCACACCTTGTTTTTGCGTTTGAAATCAAGAAACTCGAAAACAGCCATCGCTTTCTCGGAATCTGTGGTATGTTCCATGACCTAATATCGTTTCCAAAAAAAAAAGGAAGGCCACAAAATAAAGAAGGTATCAGTGATGATTAACTAAATCAAAGTGAATTATAAGCGTAATATGATTGTAAGCTGTTTTGTTGCTTCTTCTGATTCTTACGTGCAGATATTCCTTTGTACACTTTAAATTACAGGGAACTGCCAAGCAACAAAACAGCTATAGATCAGGTATAGAGAAGAAGTTACCTTGGTTGCAGTTTTCTTCATTATAGCCTTGTAGCCTTCCTTATCAATTTTCCTTGCTTTATAAAGAGGCATGAGTAACGATGCAACATAATCCACGACAGCCACTTTAATACGCTCTGCTCCTCTATGTTGATTATCCAACAACTCCCGGCTTACTGTAACTTGTGAAGCAGAGCTCTCATTTGCCAGGACATCATGCTTCCATGTAAGTGGCTTTGAATTCGTGTTTGAATCCTCCTCATCCGTAAGGTGTATAGACCGGTGAAAGAAATCAGAATCAGCAGCAGCTGCTTGAGATTGCCATCTCTCAATGGCATTATAATCCTTTATCCCTACACTACCAGCACTATCAACCCATGCTTTTGTAAATATGCTGCTGTCTACATCCACACTTTCTCCAGAGTGCTCTCTGAAGTTCAACTGGCATGCAATCTCATTTGAGTGGCTTCGCTGGGAATGGTTATCAGCTGACGTTTTTGAACTGTCCAGGTTGACACCTGCAGCAGAAAAATCAACAGACCAATCCCGCACCCTGCAGTTCCTAGAATCAATTTCTGATATACAATCTTGTCTTCCCAATGCACCACCAGACCACTTCCTTCTAATATCAGATTCATCCATTTGTGCATATTGCTCACGTCTAGCAAATTTGTGAAATGAGGGTATCTTCGGAAGCTGCAGCATGTTGAACTTGGCACCAGAAGAAGCCAATGCCTGTAATATAGAATTAACATCGCATTAATAACAATCTTCCATTTCCAACATAAGAAGAAAGAGAAAGTAAGAAAACATGGAAAAAGCAGCCTCCGCGATGCCCCAACCCACTCCCACTTCCTGTTAGAGCTTGTCCCATATCGATAAAATGACACTTCCCAAACAAGTACATGAGCCTAGTAGCCTATCCATTCATTGCCAATTGATTTAGAGTTGGATGCTTTAATATAGTAGGGGAGCTGGGTGTAGGGCGGGTTTGAGCAAGATGTAATTTCATCAGTTTATTAATCAATCCCACTTTGTACAATAGGTGCACTAATTTGTCTGTTTATCAGAACCTTATGGCAAACTCCTTGTTCAAAAAGAAAAGGCAAAGAAATGAGAAACAAGAAACAATCAGATGTTAAAAGAAATAAGAGGAAATGGTAGTAGAGGTATACACAGAACAATAATATGGAGCAAAGGTTTGTATTTTGACTTGACCAATATGAATCCCACTCGATATTGAAAAGACATCCAAAATTTTCGATAGTTAGTGTCTGGAAGGTGCACATGTGCTAATGTATGGATAACAGATACTATAATTACTAGTCACATAAAGTGGGGCTCAGAAAAGTGTAGCATATGCCGAATGAGCTGAGGCTAAAAGGGAAACAGGCACATTTGACCATGTCACGGCTAATGAGGGGTATGCTTATGAAGATCTTTACTTTGATTGTAAAGCCTCACAGACTCGCCTCAAGGCAAGCCTCAAACTGAACCTTGAAAAGCTTTTTGTCCTGAAATATGGCCAAAAAAGGGAAAATAATAGCACCAAGATAAACAAACCTCAGCAGCTGCAAGAGCTGCAGCACGGGCTGCTTCTGCAGCAGCAAAGGCAGCCTGATCTTCTTCAGACATGGTGAAATTGTGGTTCTCAACCCCCCTGGCATCATTTCTTTCTAATGAACCTTGAGACCTTAATGGTTTAACATCTGGTTTCCAATCTGTCTTTGTTTCCGACTTGGCATTCATTGTCTTGATGTTTGCATTGGGAAGCAAGTGGTTTCCCGTAGATGCAGAAAGCTTTGAACTTCCTTTGTTGTCTGGTGCAACATGATGTGTGCGTAGAGGTGGTTTCCCGGAAACTAGGTTAGATTTGCTTTTTAAAGAATCCATGGTTGTTGATTGCCTCAGTAACTTCAGGCCCCCATTAGAAGCCTTCTCCTTGCGAAATATTTCAATCCACACACTAACCAGCTGACTTGCTATGGCACGTATATCACGGCTCGTATGTACACAAACTTTTTCTCTTACAGTTTTTCCGATACCTGCAACAACAATGATACAAGAAGATATGAGTATTAGGAGGAAACAGGTTGTAATCACACCTTTGGTCATTGGAAACAGGAACATCTTATATTCAGTTGTTCTATTATACCAAAATATAATTTCACAAAACAACCACCTCATACAAAACCAAATCTACACTTAGGTATGATGCAGTCAGACTTAACTTCAGGAACAGGAACAAAACATGAAAATGAGTGCTCACCCTGGGAGAACAAACTGCTTAAGTACTCTCCCACCACTGGAATACTCCACGAAGAAAATTACTAGCCATTCATATAATTACAAGGACAACAACAACTAATTATATGACAAAAAATTAATTCTCAACGCAATTCAACAAAAACATTATCCCAACTATTTGATGTTGGCTAGATGAATCCTAATTCTCATTGTGCTCTATCACTGGGCAGAATTTCTGCTAAACCGAGAGCTACTCTATCTTTTTTTCACTATTTCGTTTAAAGTTAATTATGGTCTATCTCTACCTCTAGCATTACAAACTATATGTATCACTCTTCTTCAGCGGCGCATTACTAGGTGTTTATACACCTGTCCAAACCACCTATGTCCATTCTTTCTAAATTTATCTCCAATTAGTGCCAGTTCTACGGTTTCACAAATATTGTTATTCCTAATTCTATCTTTTCTTTATTCTACAACATCTCCATCTTAACACCCAGTTTTTGAGCATGTTGTCCCATTACTGCCTAACATTCAACACATAGTTTTTGAGCATTGTTGGTATAATGGTTGTCTTATAAAATTAAACTTTCAATCTCAGAGGCATACGTCGATCACATAACATGCTAGATGCATTCTTCCACTTGGTCCATCCTCCTTTAATCCTATGACTACCATCGTCTCCAATCTCTAGATCCCTACGGGTAATTAACTCAAATATCGAATGTTCACTGATATCCCTTGATCTTCGATCTTTTATTACCTCCCTGTTTGAATTCTACTATTACTAAAACTACATTCCTTATATTCAATTTTATTTCTACTTATCCTAAATCCTTTAAATTCTAAAGTTTCTCTCCAAACTTCTAATTTATCTTTAATTCCTACTTAATTTCATCAATCAATACTATATCATCAGCAAATAATATACACCATGGAAATTCTAGACTTCACACTAGTGGCATCTGGAAACAAGTTCTCCCGGAAGTTTCTTCCAAATGCTGCTTATGGTCAAGCAAGTTAAAAACATAAAGAAGTAAAGTATCATTCGCCTACATAATTAATACAGATGTAAAGACAAAAAAAAAATACCTGATAAACGAACTGCAAGGAGATCGGTTGAAACAAGTACAAGGAGACGAACACAATGGCGCAATAGTTGAGTCCCATCCTTCCCCATCGAATCCTGTTATCAGCGATACAAAGTGAAAACCAGAAAAATTCAGCTGCCTGGGAATATCAAGGGGCAGACCTACACCCAAGGGAATTGAAATTCCCCTGCCCCCAGCTGCTTTACCACTGGTGCCTTCCAAAGACTTGAGGGCACTCCCCCCCCCCCCCAAAAAAAAAAAAAAAA